TGAACTAGTCACCAACAGCACAAATGTATTCACCACTCAGCCCCCAAAATTTACACTATATATATCTATATTAATTGAAACATTAAGGGTAATTAATTCTTCCTACCTGATTTACCCACACTTTCTTTTAATTTTATAATTTCCCATGTCCTGATGATAAACCTCAGTGTTATATTTATCATTTACCCAGCATGTTATAGTTATCTATATTTGGATAAGATGTGCTGGTTCTTGCTTTTTAGTGCAGAGTGGGAGGAATCTCAGCAGGGGGAAGCAATTGCTAAAGGGTTTGCCAGTAAGAAAGACTATTGAAGGCATCAAAGTGAAACGAACCCCAAAATGTGCAGAATAACTTATGAGCTATATGAAGAGGTAAATATTGTTTTATTTTAGAAATTTCTTGTTAGTTGTTCATGTGTTATAATAACCGTTTCTTGCTTTTTATACTCGAGAATGAATAATATGGAGTACATAGTTTATGGTTGAATTGAATCATATGGTTTACATTCTTAATTTGAATCCCATTTCAAGTTTTTTTTTTTTTTTTCTTCTTGTCTATTGAGTTTGATCGTCAAAATATTTTATCTATTTCAATCCTATGAATCAAAAATCAGTTTCAATGTTGAAGACAAATTTGTTATCCCAGTAATCGTTCATTTCTCTTATTCATCTTATTATTTACCGATGAATATAATAGCCAATCAGTATGTGAGTACAAATGTGCCAAGAGGCATTTTTTTCCATTAAGAGATGGAGAGAGGGGAAGAAATTAAGGGTAAAGAACAAAACAGAAGATCAAGTGGAGAGAGAATGTAGAGGGAGGGAGGAGAGGGGTAGATGAAGTGGGTATTCGGTTGCATACATCATCTTATGTTGACATTGGTGCTGATGAACTTTGTATTAGATTGGCTAAAAGAATTTTCTTCAAAGAAAAACTACATTTTTGAGTGGCTTAATGTATTATACTAGGCTCTCTCACACATGTTCTAGAATTTTTTCAAAAAATGAGAGAGAGAAATATAAGGTGATGTTTGTTACAAAAAGTAGCTATGCTGACATCATTTAATGTCATCCTCTTTTGTAAAATATTTATCAAATCCCTTGAAACTGTGTGTCTATTTCAGAATAGTAACCCATAAGAGTTTTTTTTTTTTAGCAATTTTATGATTAAATGATCTTGATGGAAAACCTCTTGGGCTTGGCTCAACAAATCTGTGAACTTTAATTAAAGTGTTGTATCTCCCGCACTATGCTTGATGTCAATTTCATCATCGTCTTCAGTTAACATCCATGTTATTATTATACAGTAACTTGGATTTCAATTCATAAGGCAAAACAAGAATCAGTCGTTTTATTCTTCATAATTTGCTTAAAATCATAGGTAAAATAATTAATATTTTTCCTAAAAGGAGGAACCAAAATCCATTTGCATTTGGTTAATAACTTATTATGCATGGATCATATGAACTCTTTCCTACCAGTAAGGGTGGGAGTTCACTCCCAATGGGTTTGGTGAGCAAGTGGCTCTGGGTTTGAGTCTCCATGGGGGCAACGTGGTTTCCATCCACCTGTGCTTCTGACTTTTGTTCACTAGGACACTGATGGGACTGGGGTCAAGCTATGGGTCAAGCTTGTCTTAAGGAAGTGCCTGCATATTCCCCTTGTGTGCGCGATACCCCCTCTTTGTCGGGCCTGTTTAGGTCCCTTCTGTCTGGCCTCTCGGTGGGTTAGGGCCCCTTTGGCCATGCCCAACGAAGATTGCTACTATTGGTCACCCCATCCTTTATTTTATCAAGCAAACTATGAACTATTTCCTATGTCATGTATGACCCCTTTCCAAATAAGACTTGTGACAACTGACGGAATGTTACTCGGACCCATAGGTTAGGATTAAGAAACGAATACGCCCAAAACTTAGTCGAAAAAGGGCGTTTCGGGGGTGAAGCTTCAAAACAGCCCCCGAACCGCCGTGTGGCCAACACGAACAGCTTTCCCACACCAAATATGACTTGTTACAACTGACGGAATGTTATTCATACCCATATGTTGGGATTTAGAGCCGAATACGCCCAAAACTTAGTCGAAAAAAGGCGTTTCGGGGGGCGAAAATTGAAAACAGCCCCCGAACTACTGTGTGGCTGATATGAACACCTTCCCCATGCCAAATATGACTTGTGACAACTGACGGAATGTTATTCGGACCCGTAGGTTGGGATTTAGAGCCGAATACGCCCAAAACTTAGTCGAAAAAGGACATTTCGGGGGTGAAACTTCAAAACAACCCCCGAACCGCCGTGTGGCCAACACAAACAGCTTTCCCATGCCAAATAGGACTTGCGACAACTGACGGAATGTTATTCGAACCCGTAGGTTGGGATTTAGAGACGAATACGCTCGAAACTTAGTCGAAAAAGGGCGTTTCGAGGGTGAAACTTCAAAACAGCCCCCGAACCGCCGTGTGGCCGACACAAACACCTTCCCCATGCCAAATACGACTTGTGACAACTGACAGAATGTTATTCGGACCCGTAGGTTGGGATCTAGAGACGAATACGCCCAAAACTTAGCCGAAAAAGGGGCGTTTCGGGGCCAAAACTTGAAAACAGTCCTTGAACCGCCGTGTGGCCAACACGAACAGCTTTGCCATGCCAAATAGGACTTGTGACAACTGACAGAATGTTATTCAGACCCGTAGGTTGAGATTTAGAGACGAATACGCCCAAAACTTAGTCAAAAAAAGGCATTTCGGTGTCTCAACATACATTTCTACATATTTCCTTTTATGATTGGGACTTGTTTTTGTTATTATTTTTATCACATGTTCTAATATCCTTTTTGAAATGGCACTGACATACATTAATAAGCAGCGATGGTTTTATATCCAATGTAATGATTCAAGTGCCTTTTGCAAACAAATAATGAGGAAGTTGGTAAAAATAATATTTTCTATTCACATTGGGCTTTGATATTGGTTTAGCCACAAAATTTGGATATACGTTGCAGACAAATAGAAGATTGTTACATTAGCTTTATGTTACTAATGAAAGATTTAGTAATGATTGTTCTGCATTTAACAATGTCCCTTATAACAAAAGACTTTAGAAAGACTGTAGAATGACTGATAATTGATTCATCATGAAAGGTTGCTTCTCACTTACTTTTATTTGTCACTTGCTGCCAAATTCATTCATGAAGTTGGGCATTTTTTTATCTAATTCTAATGTTTTTTTTTTGTTTTTTGTAGATGACTTTGATGCGTGGATTTCCAGAGATATTTTGGTGTATGGAGAAGAAATTGTACTTTTGTATAGAAGTAATATAATACTTTTGTCGTCTCCAGCTTTTGTGCAGTTAACTATGACTGATACAGAAAACTTTTGTCGCCGTACAGATATATGATTTTTTGTCGTGGTACATAGATGTACTTTTGGCTTGGTACATACATCACCTTTTGTCGTAGTACAGATTACGATGGGAATTTGTACCATGCCAAATGGTCATTTCACATGGTATAGTAAATATAATTTTTGTATATGGAGGGCTTTACTTTTTGTATAATTCTATATTTTGTATAGAATTATTATTTTAGTTTGGACAATAGTTGGTTTGTATGTACTTAGACAGTTAAAGTAATTTATTTTTTGTATACGGATGCAAAATATGGAATGATTGATAGTTTATGTATCATTTTATTTATATACGTATTACAGGTTGCATGGAATACAGACAGGTTATGAACACATTAAAATATTTGCAATAAAACATAATATCATGTTTTTACCAACTAAACGTTTTGTAGCCAAAAAAAGAGGAAAAAAAAAACCTTTGGCTACTAAAAGTTTTGTAGCCAAAAGAAAACCAAACATTTGGCTACTAAATGTTTTGTAGCCAAAAGAAAATCAAACATTTGGCGACTAAAATCTTTCGTAGCTAAAAACAAAAGCTGAAGAATAAAAAAATACTTTTGCCGACTAAAAATTTAGTAGCAAAAAATGTGGAAGTTTAGGCGACTAAATTTTTAGTAGTCAAAAGAAATACTATTTGCCGACTAAAATTTTAGTAGCCAAAAAAGATTGATTTTAGGTGACTAAACCAAAAGAAAACCAAACATTTGGCTACTAAATGTTTTGTAGCCAAAAGAAAATCAAACATTTGGCGACTAAAATCTTTCGTAGCTAAAAACAAAAGCTGAAGAATAAAAAAATACTTTTGCCGACTAAAAATTTAGTAGCAAAAAATGTGGGAGTTTAGGCGATTAAATTTTTAATAGCCAAAAGAAATACTATTTGCCGACTAAAATATTAGTAGCCAAAAAAGAGTGATTTTAGGTGACTAAAATTTTAGTAGCCCAAACACTAAATATTTGCTTTAGGCGACTAAAAAATTTAATAGCTAAAATTTTTTTCGCGACTAAATTATTGGCTTTTGGTGACAAAAAAAATTGGTCGGCAAAAATGTATTATTTAATTAATTTTTCAACCTATTGGCGACTAAATATTTAGTCGGCAAATGAATACATTTGGCGACTAAATGAAGTTTAGTCACCAACTAGCTTTGCCAACTACCCTTCCGTTACTAATTTTTTGACTAAAAAATTTAGCCGCCAAATATGAAAATTCTTGTAGTGAGGCCACACTATAACTGAATCGATGTAAAAATGGGGGACTTTTTTTTGAATTTTTTATTGTGGGATCTACAACATTCACCCAAGAACAAGTCTTGCGGAAGTCACAGAAGAATTTGTGTGTCCCTTTCAGGTGTGATTGTGAAACCTAATATATCATAACCTAGACATGGGTCCTACTTTCAAACGTACTCCTTTGTAAGCATGAGTAAAGGTCAGCCTCTTCATCCCTTCCACACACCCTGCCGGCCTCTCTCTCTCTCTCTCTCTCTCTCTCTCTCTCTTTATATATATATATATATATTTATATATACATTCCCTAGAGCGTCAGTTTTTATGTCACAGAATTCAACAACATACAACATTTGTTACTGACATGACTAACCGCTTCAAACTTCGACTCTCTTTTCCATCATTCCAATTCTGTCGTTTAAAACATCGCTCTTCTTTCCCACACATTCCATGTCCAGCCACCTACCACTTCTCACCCATCAACCCGAAATCATTTGACATCTCTTATTCCGGCTTCCCGGAGCCACCACCTTCAACTCCAAACCTTCCTTTATCCAAACGCCATGTGTCACCGGCTAAGATCATACCGGTCGACTGCGGAGGATGTCGATCAAAGTCACATCACAACAATAACACCAAATCATCACCACAGTATTACTACGAAGAACATCAAAACAAAGAGAAGAAAACTAAAGCAAGTATTTGTATAAGCACTTCCACTACAGCTGATAGAGTTTGGTTCAGTACTGAAGGTAGTGACTACTACAATGAAGAGACTGAGAGCTTCGTTTCTTATTCGAGAAGCTTTGATTCCTCTTATGAATTCGATTACTCGTTGGAGACTATAAGCGAGAGTAAGAAGAAGAAGAAGAAGAAGAAGAAGAAGAATTTTGATGTATCTCTGGCGAGGATGGTGGTGGAGGGAAAACTGAAGGGGGCGTTTGCGGTGGTGAAGAGGTCGGAGGACCCGAAAGAGGATTTCAAGAGGTCGATGATGGAGATGATATTGGAGAAAGAGATGGTTGATGCTGAGGATTTGGAGCAGCTCTTGCAGTGTTTTCTATCTCTTAACTCGCGACACCATCATGCTGCCATTGTTGGAGCGTTTGCTGAGGTTTGGGAATCTTTGTTCTGTCAATCTCCTGATTCTCGACATGTTTCGATGGGTCATTGAGGTTCAAGAAGGTGATACCGTCATCGAAAATTATCGGGGATACAATGTCCAAATGATGCGTCTTTCATATTTTAAATGAGAAATGTTAGAAATCATGAAAATTTTGTCATGAAAAGGGTCATGAAAAATTTGTGACCCTTAGATTACGTTGATTAGTATGTGGTGATTTATTGTAAGTGTAATCCAAAAGTCACAAATCTTTCATGACCATTTTCATGAATGACTTTTCATGATACCTAGCATTGCTGATTTTAAATATGTCAATTTGATTAGCATATTAATTTTGTCATTAAATAGTCTTTACCTTTGTTTATGTTCATAATTAATAATAGAAGTAAGGATATTTTCATCAAATCATATTTACATATCAATTAACTAGAAAGAAAAAAAAAATGGAGCTTTTTTGATAAATTTCATTTCTAAGAGTATTATTCCTCCAACTCATATTTTTTTTTAACTATTCCATTAAGTCCTATTTGAAGTAAGAAATCTAAAACACCCTAAATCTCTCTTGCCTCTATTAATGTTGATATTTAATGTTGATTTTCATTATATCTTCACTCTACAAAAATGCATTAACTACACACCACTATTTAATATTGATATATATTACACACAAAAAATTAAACATGGTTCTTTATTGATGACGTGAATGTGAATGATCACATCAGATGACGTTGTGATAAATGTGATGTTAAGGTTCACATCAGCATTGCATCAAATTACACAACCACAATCCTTAACTTGAAATGAATTTTGTCATTATGCTGTCAATTATATGATGTGAATATTCATATTAAAACATGCGAATGTGAACGTTCACATCACTATATTATATGAAATAGAATGTTCATATGTTGTGAACGTTCACATCACTACATATTGTGAATAAGAATGTGTTATCAATTAAAAATATAATGAACGTTATTTTTAGTGTGTTGTCAATTAAAAATAAGAAGGTTCGCATGTTGTGAATGTTCACATCACTACATTAGATGAGAAAGATTTTTTGAAAATGTGTTGTGAACGTTTACATCAGCTGAGAGATAATGTTCACAATATTTTTAATGTATTGTCAATTAAAAATAGATATACATCAGATGAGAGAGAATGTTCACATTATTTTTAATGTGCTGTCAATTCAAAATATATTCACATTATCTAATAATATAAAATAATAACATCAATGTTATTTAATTTGTGTATGAAATTTCTTATACTTTGGTCCTTTCCCTTCTCTCTCCTCCCTTAACATTAAATATCAATATTAAATATAAGGGCATAAGAGTCTAACAAAATAATGTAAATCAAGATAAAGGACTTTATGGAATAAAATTATAAACACATGCGACTAAGTGATTTAAAAAATTCATTTATGAATTTCTTGGATTAAAACACTTTTAAATGAGAATTATCAATAAAACCCCTCCCCCCTAAAAAATAAAAAATAAAAATAAAAAAAAAAAAAAAACGAATTGAGCTTATCTCAACACTATTTTAACATTAGTCATTGTCAATGGAAAATATTCACAAAACATAATTTTCATACAGGAAATTCATTTGGATTGATATGATTTTTGTTTTTTGTTTTTCAAATAGATCTTTTATGATGAAATCTTCTTAAAAGATGACAAGTTTGATAATTTTTATAGTAATCAAAGCTGTTACATAGGAGGAGGACAAGTTTGCCAGAGTCACTAGCCAAAAAGATCAAAAAAATGGTTGAAATAATGCGGTTGGTCCTGGTGTTTTATGTTGCTCATCTGATAGAGTGCATAGGGCAACAGGGGGCAATTTATCTGGTTTGTTTCTGCAAGTAGTCAACTTGATTTTGCTGCAGTATTGATGATGCTTTTGCAATACAATTTCTGTTCTAATGTATAGCTCAGTATCTTATAGTTGATGTTACTGTTGATGTTGCAATTCTTGGTGTTGTTTGTTGCTACCTTGGGTGTTAATTACCTAGTGTATGTTGGTGTTGAGTTTGTTGGTGTATTGGTTATAAGTTGCTGGAGGAGTTTGTTGGGGGGAGGAGTTGGCAGATTTGGAAGGTTGCCCTTACTATGTGGTTGAGTGGTTTTTTATTTTTGTTTTTCGTGTTGTCTCTCTATTTTGGATTGGTTACTCTCCAATTTGTGGGTTTAGTGCTAGCAAATGATTGTGCTTTCTCCTTAGTGCCAACCTAGTTGGGATTGTGGAGTGATAGCTATAATGTTTTTGCACTACCCTCCTTTATTGATATATATTGATGCTTGTATTTGCTCAACTCATTAATAAAGTTTTCCTTTTCTTTGCTGATCAAAAAAAAAAAAATAGCCTTCCCGGATTGACTTATAACAAAAGAAAATTTTCTTGGGAACACTGCAAAGAAAAGTGAAGGTAACCTGTAAAGTTTTGCATTTATATCAATGCGAACTGTTGCAATTCTTTTTCTTTTCTATCTCACCATGGTAGCCGTTGAAATTAGCTTCTGCAGCGAGAACCATAATGTGATCTGCATGGAGAGTGAGAAACTAGCTCTTTCAAGGTTCAAGCAAGATCTAAAAGACCTTTCCAGCCGACTCTCTTCTTGGGACGTTGGAGATGATTGCTGCAAGTGGGCAGGAGTTGTTTGCAATAACATAACGGGCCACGTCATGGGGCTCCAACTTCAAAATCCGAACAGTTTTACTGTTTATGATTTCGAGTTTCATGATTATTGGTACAAGAGGTCAGCGTTGGGAGGCCAATTAAATCCTTCTGTACGGGGTGAAATATTCTCTATTCTCCGTACTCCTTAAACCCAAGCTTCATGTAATGCCGCTTAACCTGAAAACCAAAAGACGGTGAGCTACCCGGCGGTGTGCTGCCGGATAAACCCTCCGACGATCAAGTCAGCACACTTAGAGAATAAGAAGAAGAAAAATAGAGAGTGCTCTAGAAAGAGAGAGAGAGAGTTGGGAATGTCTTCAGATTGCTTACCTCTAACGTCTCATATTCCTCATTTTTTAGGCTGGCCATGCAGCCTTAGAGATTGTGGACGCACTACCTCTACTGTCCTTCTCTAGACAGGCGACTGTACTCCCCTCTACCTTTCTTACGCGTGTAGAGACCAAAACCTCCAAACAGTGATTGTCGAACCGCCAAACGGTATTGATGCATACCAATGGTGGATTTTCCATCCTTTGCCATTGGTCCAAGTGGCTTACGTAACCGAGCTATCACTTGGGACAAACATCACAACGACTGGAACAACCAAGCTATAATTAATTGGCCCATTTGAATCGACTGATCGTAGGGCGCATGGTTTGACATCTCGGCCTCGCCCTGCTACCTTGTAAGACATCTCGGCCCAAAGCCAGTTCGGACTGTCCGTGGCTCGGCCCAACACATCAGTGTGAATCTAACCAAATATCAGGTTTCGCCGAACTATAGCTCGGTTGAGCACCTATATGGCTCCACATTCTGGTCGACGGTCTACCCGGCCCAACGTAATGGGTCGGGGAGCCGTGTTGGTTCAGTTTGGTCAAACACTAGGTCTGGCCCTTGCAAGGCCCAACACCATATCCCACGCTACCGTAACTCGGCCCGCTTGTTCGGCCCAAATCTCCCTCTCAATTGCCCCTTAATCCCATCTGAGCTAAGTATGATTGGGGTTACTATTCTGACCGAGCTATCCGATTTGGTCGATCATTGAGAATCGCGCCAGTAGTCTTGTCATCGATCAATCAACCATACTGATAAACCATCCGTGCAATCTCACAGCTGTCTATACTATACCAAAGATTTGGAAAGTTGCCACCTATTCGGTTTCCCCCCATATATACACACAAGAAGCCAAAAGACCCTCATCACTGTTTATCTCCCCTTTGCCAAAACCCTAAGCCTTAAACCTTCAAGCTTCTGCCACCGCTGCCGTCATCACCTCCCATCGAGCCGTTTTTAACTTTTTCTATCCACACGAAAGCCACAATCAGAGTCGTGGTTGATTGGGTCTTGGCTCGGCATCTACACTCGTAAGTTTTTCCCACTTCTTTCTATTCTCCATTGATATTCTTCATGTTCTGAATTCCCGTTTGTTTTGGGGCTATTGAAATATTGTCGACGCCCCTCTTCCCTCTTGTGGGATTAACATCTGTGGAAATTAGGCTAAATCGAAACCCTAAGTGTCATCAGGCTTCTTTGCCCCTCATTTCCCCCCATTACTGTAGGTGATTCTGGATCTAGGATGAACACTGAATATTCTGGATAAAACCAATCAAAGACACACTTTTAGATCCAAAAATAAGATTTAGCCGAGCAAAAATTGGTTCATGGTCCTCCCTTGAGGCTGAGACCGAGCTGTAAGTTTGTAGGAAGATCGAACCGAGATAGGAAGATTGAACTAGTCAAACGCCCCAGGATCTTATACCGAGCTAAAGCACTTCCTCATAAGAGTCGTGCAAATTATGTCGCGCTAATACTTGGAATTATTTTTTAATAATGCAAAACAAACTAGGACCGACCAGGATCACTCAGCATTACTGTCGGTGAGGCTCAAAGATTGAGCAAACAATCACCAAATTTTGACCAAGCTACAACCAAAAATTACCCAACTGAATAAAACAGAGATATATGGGGAAGTACCGGTTCATGGTTAATTTGCCTGGGGCAATGGCCGAGTTTCGTAGATAGTACAATATTCTAGACGACGTCCACTTGGAGCTGGCCAAGAAAGAAAACACTCCCTGGGGCGAGCTGGACAAATACCCCTTCACGGTGGTATCCATTGTGGAATGCAGCCTACGCTTCCCAGTCCAACCCCTAGTCTGTGAATTTTTTAGGCAGACTAGGTTGTGCCCGACCCAAGTCTCCAACAATACATACAAAATAATAAACGGTGTGGCCGCGCTGAATAGGATACTCGGTCTGAATCTCGGCCTCGCTGAGATATTCCATCAATACACACTTACCAAAAATAAAAGAGGGTTTTGCTGGTATCTCAAGGTTAGGAAAGGCCGAACAAAACTTATTGAAGGTAA